TTCACTAGCGTGGCTTAAAGCGCAGGTGGAAATTGAACATAAGAAGAAGTCAGAAGACGGCCTCAGTTGCCGAGATGCCCCTTTCCCCAACCAAGCTTTGCTGGGGGGTGTCTTGATATCCCCCCTGCATTACGAGGGCATCGTCCTTCTCGGGAAGCGACATGTGGATTTGGGATAGTATGAAGTTGATGAGGTGCGAGCTCCGCTGCTCACTTAGTCCTTTGATCTCTAAACGATTCGGGAGATGGGTTGCTCCTTCTGGCTAGACAGACGGCGCCAAGTTCAAGCTGAGAAGCCCCGCAGCCCTGCTAACCCCCAGCCTGGCTCTGGTCCCCGGGAGTGAGGGCTAAGCCTCGGGGATAGGGACTTCTTCATACCGCCACCCCCCCCCCGGCTTTTCCCACGGAGAGCGGTCTCTGCAGCTCCTTGATGAGCAGTGCCTGACAGTGGGGGCTACCATGCCCTGCCCGAGCTTCTTTATCCCTCATCCCGGCCCCGGTGGTGTGGATCAGGCCGTCTCGGGGCTGGTTTCGGACATCTGTGCAATGTGATACCGTGTGTCTGAAAAAGGAGCCGGTAAGACCGCGCTGTTACCGGCACCCACGGTGTCTTTAAACGCCCCTTTGCGGGGCTGGGCCCGCCCGTGCCCTGCCCTCCAGGGGAGAGGGACAGGTTTGCACTTCAAGGGGGTCTCCCCGGCTCCGCAGACACGCTGGAGCCAGGGGATGTAGACATTTGCCAGACGTGTGAACTTTCCTTCTCGCTCGTAGCTGTGATCTCTGCTCGATTCCCACTTTGATGTGTGTTCACACTTACGAACTACCCCGCCCGGGACCGGAGCGCCCATATAAGAGCGGGCCGAGACCTCCGGTCCTCCAGCCGCCCTCAGCCATGAACCAGGCCCAAATCCTTTCGGCAGAGACCAAGCCCCACGGGGTCAGGCCCCACCTCTGCTGTGCGCCCCCTCCTCGCGCCCCCACGTCGCTGGGCAGCACGCCCCTCCTGGTCAGAGCCAAGCCCCGACGGGGCGGCCCGCAGCCGAGCCAGCCCGCGGACAGCGAGCCCTGCGTGGCGGAGAGGATCCCAGACGATCCCAGAGAGACCACCGAGTCGGACCCGTCGGAGTCAGGTGAGTGAAGAGGAATCAGAGAAGGGGGCGGAGGGCGGGCTGGGGACGATCCCCGTCGCTGCAACGGCCTGTCAGGGCCGAGGGGAGGCGCAGGGACTCCCCAGGCCGGGGAAGAAGCCTTACCACTGCTCCTTCTATCCTCCTGGGCAGCCCCCGACAGCGGCTGGTTGAGCGCCGACGAGTCTTCCGGCTACGAGAGCGAGAGCGCGGAGCGTTCTGCGGCGGCGGGCGGGACCCGCGGGCGGCAGCGGCGGGCGCGGACCGCCTTCACCTCGGAGCAGGTCTGCCGGCTGGAGAAGACCTTCCAGCGCCAGAAGTACCTGGGGGCCACGGAGCGGAGGAAGCTGGCGGCTGCCTTGCAGCTCTCGGAGATCCAGGTGAGTCCCGCAGGAAGCGGATCCTTCCCGGCCCCGTCGGGCAGGAGCAGTCAGGGTCGGCGGTTTCGCATCGGTCCTCCCTGCCATGAAGAGACGTAGCGCTCTTCAGCTGAATTTAGTGGGGGCTGTGGGATTCCTCGGGGATTAACAAATTACAGTCCAGGAAATCTGGGCCACTTTCTACCGGGAAGACATTAAGGTTTCTTTATTTCTCAGTAAGGTAAATTGTCTAAGCGATCCGCTTAGATCTTGCAGAGGTCATATATGGTGTTGAAGTCTCTAAGTGATTAATATCGCTGAACTCAGACATACTTCTCCCCTACATGCCGCAGGTCCTCAGCCGTCGGTTAAGTAGGGCAAAAGAATTAGTCCAACTCTTGTCAATTCCAACTGAAGCAAAATGGCAAAAGAACCTGAGATACGGTTGTTCATAGTTTGCAAGTTATTTTTAAGTAAAGACTGATTTGTCTTCTCCATCCCCTCACCGCAAGACCCTGATTTGTCTTCTCCATCCCCTCACCCCGTTCTTTTTGCTTCTCAGATCAAGACCTGGTTTCAGAACCGAAGGATGAAACTGAAGAGGCAGATACAGGACCACCAGCACAGCCTCGTGTCTCCTGCTCCACTCTACAGCTATCCCACCGGGACCTCACCAGCTCTGTTTCAGGATGGTTTCCACTACCCCTTTGCTCCCCAGCACCAGAGACTCCTGCCTTTCACCCCGGTGCCTGCTGTGCAGTTCAGCTTCTCCTTTCCCAGATATGATGCATCGCAAAGCACCTACCACTTTATGGCCAATGAGCTGCCGTACTATCATCAACACTTTCTTCCTCATCCCTCTTTCCATCCAGTTATTCAGAACAAAGTGGACAGTCAGTGCCACCCTGTGTATGCATTATAGTGAAAAAGAAAAGCGACGGGCAACAAAGGGGAAAAAGCGTTGTATGCTGTATTTTGTGCTCAAAATCCCTAGTCTGATTTGGAAGAATATGCATTTATTATTTTAAGTTATATGTGAAAATTATTTTATATTTTATAATATTAAAATTTATTGGATATATTGCCACTCCTTTTTTTTGTTTGTTTTCATAGTTTATTAATTTTTAAAAATCGGTAGTCTACCTTCCAGTCAAAAAACAGTATACTGAAAGGAACCAGTTGAAGTGAAACTGGAGAGAGAAATGCAGTAGTAGGAACATGCTTTTGCTGAATTTCCCATGGTGTAGAGCAAAGTTATTTAGTCCAAAGTGCGTTAAGTAACTGGTTTTAATTGCACATCCCCAGTTTTCCATAAATATATATTTATAAATAAAATTTGAATAGTTTTATATGTCAGCTACAAAAAGGTTGCACTTGGGCAATGTAATCAACAATGGTCACTTTTCCTCCTGTTTTTGGTAATGGATTTAGATGCTTTAATATATCTTACTTGATTTTCCTACACTGCCACTGAGACACAGTCTGTTGAACATTTTTGGTATCCTGGACAGAGGCAACTGTACCCAGTTGCATTACACTGTGCTTTTGGCTAAGTGCAGGAGGAAGGAAAAGCTGTTGGTGAGTTTCTCTTTGAATATAAATCAATTATTGCTTTACAATTCCAATCCCATCTTCAATGTGAAGCCAGCAGCTGTGTTAATCACCTGTATTAAGTCAGTGTGTCTTCAAACAGGAATTAAACAGATCAGTCCTTTCCTATGGAATTTTATAGTTTTACAATTGCCAAAAAAAAATACTTGGCAAAAAATACTAAGTGTAATTGTGTTCACTTCAAAGCCTTATCATCTGAACGGGATTTTTACCTGCAAATTTAGCCTATTGTCTCACCATTAACAATTCTAATTGCATATTTTGAACATTTTTTTAGTAAATTGATATAATCCCTTTAGATGTGTAAAGGGTTCAAGTTGTTGTTTTAGCAATCTTGAAATTTGTTCTTCCTGGGATCAGTTTTCTCTACTAAAAGTGCTTGGATAACATTCCTTATTTCTTGATCTAGATTTTATATGAAGTTTCATTCATTCATTCACCTGGAAGGTCTTTAAAATACATTAGTTGATTGTTGCATTGTAGTCTAAATTCCCCCCCCTCTACCCTGTAATTCAGTGAGTCACTAAAAGTTTCGATTTAATAGCCCAGTGACTTGGAAGGGGTAAAGGGAACTGTTCACAGTGACTGGGACAATGCACAGGTTGTCCCTTCAGCTGCCTGGCTGTGTGTCGGATCAGCGAGGCACTGAGAAGGGGTGTGGTGAGGAAAATTCCTTCAAGTGTTTCCCAGCCTTCCCTCCTCTGTATTGTCTACCAAAGACTGAATTCAACTTTGCACTCCTTAAGCTGCCCAGCACAACGCGGCCGAGGTTGGAGGTGGGGACAGGTATGGGAGGGGAGGAAGGAAGAGAGGAGAAACGGTGATGCTTTTTTTTCCCTGTGAGCAAAGGAAGGGAGCGTTTGGTGGAGTTTGGGGTTGGTTTGTTTTGTTGGCAGTGGAAGGAGTATATTATTTTTTCTTTCTTTCAAATTGCAGAGTAGTCTAACCATCACCTAATGAGCAAGGTAGAATGGTCTGGATCAGGGAAGGAGATGTAGTCACACCTGCTGCACTTGCTTTCTGCTGATGCAGTGTCTTTTGTTTCTCATTATTCTCTAAAGGCTTGGCTTTGCCATTTTCCATAAAGATTGCTTTGGGACTTTTAGGAACACTCTTGATTGTTCCTGATAGCAATCCTAAAGGAATCCTGCAGTTTAAAATTAGGGAGGCTGTCAAGGTAAGGCTGAAACTTTAGAAGTAAAAACTGAAATATTTTCTTTTTGAGTGTCCCAGGAAACATGAACTTGTAAACAATTCTCATGTTTTCTTAAGCAGGTTTTAATCACAAGTATGTTTGGCATCATCAACATACATGCTTGCCAATGAATTCCTTAGCCTCACCTCTTTTTAAATGCATAAATAGAATATTTAAAAAAACAGGTGAGACCACTTTAGGAATGGTGCAGAATACACATGTAAAAGACAATACTGGGCAGCTTGTTCAGTTTTGTTCATAGAGTTGCCACATTTGGTACCATTTTAATCTAAATGCATTTTTTGTTTCTTTCCTTGAACACCCACACTCAAGTAGAATGGACAGAGTTTTTAAGACCGTTGTGCATCACATGACATAGTTACTATGTAAATTTCAGTGCAAACAGTACTCCACTCTTTCAGTGGAGATCTATACATGATTATAGGTTGTTTCCTGAAAACTTTTGGATAGTAAAATTTATATACAAATTGCCATACAGCATAACGAAGACTGTAGGAATAAAGGAAAATTTCGTGCTCTCCACTTCCACTTGGAGTATTACTTCTCTAATACAGGTAAATTATATTCTCCTCTAATCAAATTTGGGTTTTATGTTAAAACAATAGAATCATCAATCTATTTAATATAACAAAATAAATTAGAGATATTGGGCAGTTCCTTTTTAAATCACACATGATGTTTGACATTTTTAACAGGAAGGAAGATGTGGCTGGAAAGTCAGTCTTTTATGTTCAGCAGTAAGAGTCACTGCTGGAATTACAGAAGAGTAACAAGATAATCCTGGGCTGGGAGGCAGCGGTAAAGATGGATTTGGCAAAAATGGCTGATGAGACTGAGCCGGAACAGAAGGTAACAAGACAGGGTCTTTCACAGCTGGGTGAAGTGTAACAGCAGAGGTAGAGACGTTGGCACTCATCCCATGAGAATAGCTGGATGTAGCCATATCTGGGTAATTACGGTGGGGCAAAAACAAGCCTGAGAAAAGAGCTTCGATCCTGGCATCTTGGGTCTGACGTTTAAACTTCATGCGGCGATTCTGAAACCAGGTTTTTATCTGAGGACAAGAAAAGAGTCAATAACCAACCCACTTGTCCCTTTTCCATATAGTGTACATCCTGAATGCAGATTTATTGTTGGAGTAGCAGAATACATTAACAGTTAATGGCTAATAACATTGATCTACATTCAGTGCAGAGTAATTGTCATGGCATGAGGAGGAACCAAGCTGTGAACACTCCATGATGCATGGCTAGCCAATTACCTACGCTTGGATTGGGGCTGTAACTCGAGACTAATGCAGTGGGACTAAAAGGGCTGGGTAGGAGTAGTTCTGTTCCAAAATCCCACAATGTATCTATCAAGTAGATACATAACTTTGAGTGAGAAAGAATTAGCCTGCAAATTGAAATTCTGGAGATTGTGCAAGTACTTTTACACCCTCCCCCCTCCCCCCCTTTCCCCCGAAAGTTTCACCTTTCGAATTTGCATTCACCGTTTTCCATTTGCACCTTGTCTCTGACGGACACAGCAGTGCCAGCCGAGACAGGGGTGTCAGCCCCGTGTTCTGCCAGCGGGGCGAGGCTGACGGGCGGCCCGTCCCGCCGCACCTGCAGGACCTGTCACTGTCGCTGTCTCCGTCCCCGCGGTGACCGTGAGGTGCCAACAAACTCTACCCCTTTCCCCCCGTCGGAGGGCGGAGGGCCAGGCCGTCCCGGGGGCCCTGGCGGCGCTCACCTGGCTCTGGGAGAGGTTCAGCGCGGCCGCCAGACGCCTTTTCTCGCCGGCGCCGATGTAGCGCTGCTCGCGGAAACTGCGCTCCAGCTCCTGCAGCTGCGCGGCCGAGAACTTGGTGCGGGGCCGCCCGGGCACGGCCCCTCCGGCCGCCTCCGCTTCGTGCCCGGGGATGCTGCGCTCTACGGCCTCCCGGGGCGCCTCTGCGGGGACAGATCGGGAGGTCTGGGGGGGCGACCCTTCCTTCCGCGGGCCCAGGGCCCCGCGGGCGGTGCCGCGACCCGACGGCCCCGGTGACCGAGGGGCACAGCGGGACTCACCGAGCACAGCGGGGCTATCCCCGGTGCAGCTGCGGCTGCTCTGGGCCAGCCACTCCACCGAGAAGGTCACCTTTTCCATGTCCCTCAGTGCTGCCAGCCCTCACTGCAGCCGCCCCGGCTGTCAGGGCAAACATTTAAACCCCCGGCGCGGTTTGAAAAGGCCCAAAGCATCAAATGAGGCCGAGGACAAAGGGGCTCATTGAGAGGCGCTTTAATCTCTCCTTTCAGGTGATTGTTACATCCGCCTAATCTCCGAGCGCAGTAGTTAGGAGAACCCAAGGCTGCCTGACCTGGCGCCAAGTTCAGCGCGGAGTCGTCTCTTGACCACGTAGGTGCTGGGCATTGCATCACGGCTTGTGCTCTTCATGCTGCCCAAGCTGCCCTCGGCCCTCAAACCGCCCCGTGATTTTTAATCTTTATCTGCTGGTATGAAGGACAGCGATTCAGAAGGGACTGATAACAAAGGAGAACGGGAAAAAGCCTCCTTTATGAGTCTTACACCCAAATTTTGAACCCCTCTTGCTTGTTTGATGCAAGGTTTGAAAGAATCCCCTTGCTTTTCTATCAGCAAAAGGAGGTAGGGAGTCGAGGTAGGAACAAGTAAATACTACTCGACAGGTACAAATCATGGCGAAACACTAGTACTAGTATGTTGGCAATATGTCTATGAGGAACACAGTACTGTTGATTACGTCAGGGTGGGTAGATGATATTTGAGCTCGGAGTTAGTTGTAAATGCAGGGTTAAATGTTTAGCATGTCCATGAGGCAGAGTGCTGCAGTTAGGACTCTCATCTTCCTCTGAAGTGTGAGGTACACTTGTTGACTTCAGTTGACTTTAGTATCAGAGGTTTTAAGAAGTCTTCAGGGAGAGAATGGTTGAAACTAGAGCACAGCGGCATGGCAATTTGTTAGGCCATTTGCAGAAAGTAGGGTAGTTTTGAATAATTTGAGTTCATTCTTATGAATTTATTTAAGAATAAGATTAACCAATGAGCAGTTATGTGTCAGGATGTTGGACGGGACAAGAAACACCAAGAAAATGACTAGTTCTCTTGAATTTATCTGTTCATGTCTTTAAACGTGATCTCCTTTCCCTGCACCAAGAAAGAAATGTATGCATTTCAAAGTAAACAATTCTGATGTTCTTATGAAGTAGATCAAAGAAGAGGAGTGTAAACTCTGTTCCGAGGCAGTCTGTTCAAGGATGATTCAGATAAGGGTGAGAAAAGAACCACTTTTACAGTCTGAAGTGGGCCTGGAATGGCACAGTCCTTATCCTCTGCAAACACGGGCTAACACATTTACAGGTTGTTTCAGTAAACAGTCACTACTGCTTGAGTTTATACAGTGAGAGATAATGAACCAGCTTCCACGCAGAGCGGAACATGCTTGAGACAACGTGCTAATTCTTAAACTTCAAAGAGATTCATGTCATCTTTTATGAAGGGTGACATATTTGTAGTGAGCTGGCAGAAGTAAGATAATGGTGCGCTTCCAGATCTCTTTCTTCTTAGATTTTCTGTATTTCTTCAGAGAGGAATATTATTTTCTTTCATTAAATGCAATGGAATTTACATGCTCTTTTGTTAACTATGCTGAAGTGTGACATATGTAAGAATTTTCTAGACTGATTTTGAATATTCTAAATATATACATCTGCTTTAGCAAAGTCTTTTGTTCTCCTTGTAATAAAGGGGGAAAAAATTCTCTTGAATATCCACCTGAGCAGTCTGATTTTGTTTGGGTTTTTTTGTTTGTTTGGGGTTTGTTTTTGGTTTTTTTAATAAGCATGACACTTCTAGTCAGTGACTACCTACCGTTTGAGGTAATGACTTCGCAGAGGTGACACTTATGTTTTACAGAACAGTTTTTCTGACTAAGCTAAGAGGGACGGCAGTTGCATTGTCTTTTGTGCTTCTGATTTAACCCACAGCAATTTGCAGCTCTTAAAGACAATTAAAATACAAGTTAGAAGTTACAACCTTTTAGTAGAAACCAAACCAAAACCAACATCCCTGCCAAAAAAAACCCAACAAAACAACTGTAGAGAAATCTGCAGAATAAATAAATGAAACAAAACAAAGCTAAACACACAAAAAGTCCAGGAAGCAGAGAAGGAGACTGTTTCTAAATGGCCTGTTTTGATGTCAATCAAGGAATATGGTCTTGAACCCTTAGTTCCCATAACGTTATGGCAAGAATTATTGGGAAATAATTCAGTGTTCAGGACGATTTGTCTGAAATGGACCGTTACAAAAACTGGACCATTATTTTTTAGTTAGCTTGTTTCCTAATCCTAAAAACCTGCAAGATAATGCTGGAGAAAGTAAAGCTTGGTCTGGAAAAATTATAAAATCATAGACAATTTCAGAAGTGAATCATCATAATTTATTTGACGTTACAGGTAATGTCTAACCAGAAGGATTAGCAAGAAATCATTCCTTTGTTATATTAATGTTTCAGTTGTTAATTATTATTGTGCTTATTTTAACAGATGAACACATGTCTTTAAAAATTATTGCCACTATGGCAGTTTTTAAATTTGTGTTTTAGTGATAATGAAACTAGTGGATTTGTGGGTATTTTTTTTTTAATCCTGTGATCATTGATCACATTATTATCTGACTATATTGGAATAATCAATTTACCAACTTTCAAGAGAAAAGCCTGAATTTCAAAAGACACAGGATGGTAATATAATTTTTTTTTTTTTTGCAAAGCACTTTTTCAGACTCATGGAACTGAATCACCTGATTTGATTAAAGAGAAATTTTCTAGAATTTCTCTTTAAATGCTCTGAAGTAGCTTGTTTTTTCAACTGTACTTAGAATGCCAAGAGTAAGGATTTCCATATTGCTCAGCTCTTTTTGAAAATCAAGAATTTTTTTTTTAAGAGGGTGGTGTTGGTAAATCTCCTTGGCTTTATGTGCTGGAGATGAAAACTTTCATAGATTTGAGTCAGAATTGCACTGAGAATTCTTGCACTGAGGATATTTTTACATTTAATACAATCACTTTAAAAACAATGCTAGTAGCTTTAATTTATAATAGTAAACTACACAGGCATACCGTTAAGAACTTCTGCTGCTTCTTGGGTTAAAGAAAATGTCTTGGAAATGACATTTTTGTCTTGGTATACCTGTTAGCACAAAACCACAAGCAGACACAATGAAAGTGACTCTGGTGGCTGCTTATGTTTTAGGCACTCGACCTTTTATTGTAAACAGGAGTAGATGACAGTGTCTAAACTTTCCTGTGTTGGCATGTGACTGCACTAAAAAGATGTTTACTGTTCTCCTATGTAAGAAACCCAATATGGATTTTATTTTTATTAAGGGCTTATGGTATTATTTAATGTGAATTTTTTTTCCTGTAAGACCTTTCTGTTATATTCCCTTCAGTTGATATTTAAACTTTAGTGACTTAGGGGTTTGTGGTGTATGATTTATTCATTTATTTAATGTATTTTGGGGAAGCATTGTTCTAATTAATAACAAACTTTATTTTTGTCAAACCATTCGACCCTGCAATGTTGGAGCAAAACTTAACCGGGAGCTCAACAAAACTAGAAGAGGGAATATCAGTGGCTATGAAGGTGATAAACAGTAGAAAAAGTATACTTGAAGTGAATAATATTTTAAAATGCTAATGTTCATGCCGTTAAGTGTTATTATGATAACACTAACCTACAGAACATGGCCTGAGGCAAAGCTCCCATTCAAAGGACTTTGATTGAGTGATTGTAACATCATAAGCGACCATCACATGAGAGCAATTACAATTTGAAAGGTAATTGCCCTGTGTTTCTGGTTAGCAATTAACATTCGGCAGATCCTGTGATGAAACATTTCTCCCATTTTCCATTGTTTATTGGCACTTTTTATGAACACATGAACTACAAAACCCATAATGACCAAAACTTTGAATGTAAATAGTAAGCTAGGTAAGTATAGTGGAGGTGTAACTAGCTCATATTTTACTGCTGCGATTTAATGACAGCCTTTTTTGACAGAGCCCTCAGTGAAAATATTTGTTATCACTTATAGCTGTGCTTTGTTGTCTCTTTAAATCTCTTGTTGAAATAACTCTATAGTTGTTAATGTTTTTAGTCATTGCATCAGCTGTGAAGATAATTTCCTGCAAAGCAACAATTACTCTACTAGTGTTGGTTTGATTATGGATGATATTAATGTGTAGAAACTGTACTAGGATTTGTCAGTATGCTAGCAATGAAAAACACTAGAGACAGGTTAATTAAGTAATTTTAACAAATATTAAGGACATTCACCAGATAAAAATGTTATGTACTACACTCACTAATTTTTACTCATACAAAGGACACACATTTAGACATAAATTGAAACACTGAGTAGAGCTATCAGCTCAGCTGGTGGAAGGAACTGATTTACTCCTCTTCTCTCCCTCTTTCTGGACATGCTTTTCCCATATTGTGAGTTTAGGTAATACCCTGATCTACCTATGGGAGTCCATTTAGGTTTCTAAGCTATAAGGAAACAAGGAAAAAAAAAAAAGAAAAGGAAAAGAAAAGCAAATGGCTTTTTTTAACAACTAGGAGATAAACCCACTCACTGAAAAGTTGGATGTGCTCTATAACTTGCACAGGGCAGTGTTTGAAGCATGGAAGGAAAGAGGAAGAAATGGGATGATTCCTTTTAGTAGTGAGTGGGTTTGTTGCTTTGTATAAGTAAATGTCTTTATGATCAGTATAATTGCTCACTTTTTTCAGATAGAGAGACCAAGGTATCACAGAATATGCTGAGTTGGAAGGGACCCGCAAGGATCATGGAGTCCAATTCCTGGCCCTGCAAAGGACCATCCCTGAGAGTCACAACATGTGCCTGAGAGCATTGTCCAAACTGTCTCAAACAGCTTGGTGCTGTGACCACTTCCCTGGGGAGCCTGTTCCAGTGCCCAGCCAGCCTCTGGGTGAAGAATCCATCTTTCTCTAATATCCAGCCTAAACTTCCCCTGACTCAGCTTCAGGCCATTCCCTCGGATCCTGTTACTGGTCACCACAGAGAAGAAGAAGAAGGTAAGAACTGGATTGATGTGCAGA